CAGGAATGAAAATACAGTTGCATAACCTGGGTGTGCTGTTACTGTGACTTTTGGCCAGTGGCTGCTCTGTGCTGGCAGTTCCTGTGTGCATATGTAAAAACTGTGCATACAACCTATATGGTGCAGTTTTCTGAAGTGAGCTTTTTTTAGTCTAGACCTTGATATCTGCAGGAAATTGATATTTTCCAGTGTTGCAAGATGCAAAACACTGATAACCTTCTGCAGCCCTCTTCTCCCATCAGTGCTGATAGGAAACCAAGTCAGTGCAATAAAAGCATAAAAGCTCATTTGTAACCCAGAGTTCACTCTGTGAGGGTCACTACAGATAAATAAAGCCTCTCCCGGGCCCAGGCACAAGCTTTGTCCCACAGTGGTCCCTTTGGGCATGACACAGCACCTCTTTCCTTTGCAATAAGCTAAACTTACACTCTGTAAGTGATGGGGAGTAACAGCCCATGAGTGGAGAGGGGTCTGATCCCAGTGGAGCACAGGGAGGGCACGACAGCGAGGGCAGTTGTGGCTTCTGCTGGCACTGGGGTGGTAGAGACAGGGTTTAGAAGGAAACTAATTAAATGTTAATTACCAGCTGAGGGCCTGGAAGGCCAAGTGAACCAGCATGTAGCCCCCACTCAATGTGCTCAACTGGAAAGCTGAGCAGAGGGGGCCGGGAGGGGCTGGGGAAGGGGCTGTCAGAGCAGGGACGTGACTCACGTCTCGGAGGGGGAATGTGCTCCTGTTGTCCCTGCCCTCCACACTGGAAGAAGCCTGTATCTTTGCAAGAGAAAGAACAGATTGTGACATTGATGGCTTATTATTCTTTTGAAGCTTTTTTTTACTTACAAGGTTCATTTTGAGAGAAAAAGCTTTGTACAGCTCCTTTGGTCCAGCACACCACACACTCTCATACACATGTACCCAGTCTCTGGCTGCTGGGTCTATTGGGTGAGCTGAGCCTGTTTTAAGCAGTTTTGCATTGTTGTGATGGCCTGAATTTTGCTTTCAGCTCTTCA